CCCCCTCGAAAACTTGGGGGGGTCGCTACGGGTTCGAACCCCTCCCCCCCGCCACGCTCACCAACTCTGGGTTCCTACCACCGTCCGCGCCACATCCCCCACTGCTGTCCCAGCACCACTGTCCTCACCACCGCTGCCCCCGCTGTTTTCACCACCGTCACCAGTGTCCTCACCAGTGCCCCCACCACTGTCGCACTGTCCCCACTGTCCCCACCACTGTTCCCACCACTGTTCCCACCACGGTTCCACCATCCCCACTTTCTCCACGGCCCCAACCACTGTCCCACTGTCCCCACTGTCCCACTGTCCCCGCCGCTGTCCCACTGAGCTGTCGCACTGTTCCCACCACTGTCCCCACTGTCCCCACCACTATCCCTACTGTACCTCTGTCCCATTATCCCACCGCCGTCCCCGCCACCGCCCTCACCACTGTCGCCACCACCACTGTACCCTCCACTGTCCCACTGTTTCCACGTTCCCTCTGTCTCCACACCAGTGTCCCCACCACCACCGTCCCCACCACCGTCCCACTGTCCCCGCTGTTCCCACCATTGTCCCCGCTGTCCCCACCAGTGCCCCAACCAGTGTCTCACTGTCCCCACTCTCCCCGCCACTGTCCCAACACGGTCCCGCTCTCCCCACTTTCCCCACGGTCCCCACTACTGTCCCGCTGTCCCCACTGTTCCCGCCACTGTCCCACTGTCCCCACCGCCCACAACTGTCCGCACCACTGTCCCGCTGCCCCCGCGGTAGAACACGCTCATTCGAAAATGGGCATCCTCCGAATTACCGAGATTTTGAACTCTTCCCACTCGGCGAGGGAGGAGGGGAACTGAAGAGCCAAAGCGTGCGATGGAACGGGCGCGAGCGGTCGCCGTCGGGTCCAACCCAAAGGACGTCGGAAACATAACATTGTATAACCACCAGTTGGCGAACTCTACATGTGCGACCAGATCTGGGCGCGAGGGCGCGGGGCGCTAGGAATCAGCGCGACATCCTTATGCCAAGAACGTAGTGCATACACGTCGATTGCGATGCTGAGCATGCGTCAGGGCATTACAACAACCGAGTGACAGAGATATTGAGCTCATCCCGAGCCCGCGCGTGAGATTGAAGCTTCAGGACGGGCGGGGAACACGCATGGTAAATGACATCGCGCGGCAGAACATGCAATCTCATTGCTGCAACCTTGGCGTCGCTGCCAGGTGCGATGCGCATGCTGCAGTCTGCTCAAAGCTGCGGGCGCTGCGCGGAGCTGCCTGGAACACATCTTGCCGACTTGGCGCGCGGGGGCGCCGCGTTCCATGCCCGCTCGCGCTCGTGGCTCACCGCCGCAAACCTCACTTTGAGCGCCGAGTCCGCGCTCGGGCCTCCGCGCCGAGCGCGGCGCGGCGTGGCCCGAAGGGGCGTCGGGCTGCCGCCGGCGACGGCCTCGTTGAAGAACTGCTCGTCCGTGAGAAGCTCCAGCGCGGCGAGGGGCGAGCGGGGCGGACCTCTGCGCCTCGCCCCGAGAAGGGCGTCGCGGCACGCCGAGCGGCCGGTTTCCAGGCTCGCATCGTCGCCAAAGACGACATTGCAGCCGTGGTCCCCCGACGCGCCGACGGCGTCGCGACGGCGTCGGCTGCTGCCCCGGGTCGTCGGCCTTGAGGCGCCAGGGCGGCCCCCGGCTCGGAGCTCGCCGACGTCGGGGCCGGCGATGGCCAAGGCGCTGCTCGGCCTGATGCACCGGCAAGGCCGCAGCGGCGTCGACCCCCTCGGGGCCGCTCACAACCAAGCTGTCTTCCCACGGGGGCGGATCGCGCGCGCGGCCTGGGCCGGCCGTGGACCATCCCGCCAGGGCGCCATGGGGCCGGCGCGTGGTCTCGGGGGCTCTCCCTGGGCAACCTTCGCGAAGGTCGCCCGTGCACGGCGTGTCTGGCGCGGGAGATGCCGAGGCCCTGGAAGTAGGTGGTCCCGGTGCTCTGCCGCGGTGGCGTCGACCTCGTCGAACGTCTCGTGGCTGAGACGTTGACCGGAGGCCCAGGCCCGGAACTTCAGGCGGGAGTCCGCGTGCAGCTGCGCGGCGCGGGGCTGCGCGCGCCGATGCTTCGGGCGAGGCTTGGCGACTCCTAAGGCCCGCTGAACCCCGCGCGTGGGCCTCTGGCCACTGGCGCCCGCCGAAGGGCGCGGGAGCTCGCCCAGACGGCGCTCCGACGCGGCGCCGAGGCGGGCCGCGCGGGCGGGGGCGTCGGGCGCTGGAGCTGGCCGTTGGCGCCACCATATCGCGCGCCGCGGGCTTGGCGGCGCCGAGGAGGCAGGCCCGGCGCTGGCGGAGCTCGGGCGCGCATGCCGTAGCAGGGCTCGTCTTCCAACGGCTGCAGGTACGGCCAGGTGGCGATGTGACTGCACCCTTGCCTTGGGGCGTCTCGCGAGTGCGATCTACGGGGCAGACGCGCTGGTGTGACGTGGTATTTGCGAGGCGAGGGGCGATGTAATTGAGCTTCTTGTGTGAGCAGCCGCGCTGACAATCATGGGGGGAAGGTCCAAGTTCCTCCAGAGGACCTAACTAAGTTGGCGAGCGTGCCCCACCAACAGAGCTCGGACCCAGCCGAGTTCTCCAAAGACCAGCGCGCGCCATACAGATGACGGAGCCTCAGGAGCTGCAGGGTAGTGCGAGCGGCTTCAAGGCCACGATCCCGACGAGTGCCGATGCTATCCCGTAGCAGGTGACCAGACCGCGCAGGGGGCGCCGAAATTAACGAACCAAACTTCTTGCGACGACTCCTCTGAGCAACTACGCGAAAGACTGTATGATGAAAAAAGTCGAACCGCTTCCCATTGTCGGTGTCGAAGTGAGGAGCGCAACGCAAACCAATGCCACTGATGGCCGCAGTGGCGGCCTGCTGGTACCCGCGCAGAGCTCGCAAAATGCCCCGCGTCGGTGGCGAGGCGCCCAGCGAGTCGGTCCAGGCTGGTCTCCGACTGGCACGGCGCGGCGGATGCTGGAACCATGCGTCTGGGAAGTATCGGTGCCCTTGTTGCTCTGCCGGCCGACCGCGACAGGCCGGGTTGGGCACCGTGCAGTTTTCATCCAAAAAGCTGCTCCGACGCCATCGCACTCGAAGCCGCCGCCCGCGGCCGCGCTTGGGCAGCGCGAGAGGGTCCCCTTCTCCCGGCGAAGATACCGACCCCGGCAGACCTCGCCGCGGCGCCCCCGGGCGAAAGGCACGGGGCCCGCAAGGCGCAGGCCGGCGCGGATCGCCGGGGCGCGCCGGCAAGTCCGCTGGGGGGGGTCAGGCAGGACATGCCCCACCGAATCAGCACGGCTGCCGCGGCGAAGTGGGATTCCGCTCGGCGTCGACGCGCCGCTGCTTCCACTGGGTCTCGCAGACGCCTTGCCCGGCAGCGGATGGGCGACAGTGCTGGGGAAGGGCGCGATCGCGGGCGCGCCCCATCTTGAAGCTCAAGATCGCGGCCGCGTTGCCGGGCGCGCTGCCGACGCGCGGGCCGCGCGTTCGCCGGTCGCGCGAGGCCCGCCCCAAGCCCAGCAACTGAATCCGAAGCTCCGCGGCGCGGGCCGTGGCCGCGCATATGCCAGAAGGCGCCCCCCGCGATCATCTCCCGCGGGCTCTCGGGCTGGAGGGGGTAGTCGGTGGCCCGCGCGGAGCTACTTGCGACGGCGGTCCGCGCCCGAGGTAGGCAGCGCTCAAGGACGGAGGGCGTCGAATCCGGAGGTGCGAAGCCGGGGCGACCAGGTCGCAGGTCGCCATCTGCTCCGTGCGCCAGCAGCGGATGGGCCTTCGGGGCCGCGAGGTCGACGAGCTCCTCCTCCGCATCTGGAGACGCCGCCGCCCCCGATTGCGGAAAGCCAGCATGACCCCGCCGTCAGAACTGGAGGTCACGCGCAGGACGTGATCGCTCTGGTGCCAGGGGCCAGAGCCGCCCGAGGCGCCCCTGTGGCGGGCGACTCGCGACCACGGAGTAGCCGTGTCGACGTCGGCCAGGAGGGCGAGGCCCTGCGTCGCCAGGAGCTCGTCAAGTTGGCGACTGCAGATTTGGGCGCAGTCGTCAAGGTGCTGGGCCACGAAGCGGCGGCCTTCGCCCCCCCCCTCTTTCTTCTCCCCCCCCTGCCCCCTCCGCCCGCCCCCATCCTCCTCCACGCGGAGGGCGCGCCCAGTAGGCCGGCGCGCTCGAAGCAGATGCTCGAAGCCAAGGCGCGGCCGCCGCCCGCGCAGGCGCGCGGCGGAGGCATCCGAAACGACCCCGACCGCGGCGCGCAGATTCGCGGGCTTGACGAGTTCGCGGACTGGGCGTCGAGGAGGTCAAGCGTGCCGAGCGCCGTGAGAAGCGCGCCCTCGAATGGCTGGATTCCTTGCGAGAGCGGTCTCTCGCGGCCGCCGCCGCGCTGCGTCGCGGTCGAGGTCGCAATGCCCCCCCTGATTCCATGTCGCCTCTTGCTGTTTCAGCGCGCTCCTCCCCCCCTTCGTCCGCGGACCTGCCTCGGGCCGCGGCGCGCGCGCCTCCCGGGAACTCGGCCCCGAAACCGATCGCGTCGGCGTCGCCCACGCGGGGCCGCAGCAGCGGGCGACCAGGGGCAGGGCGCGGAGCGGGGGGCCGCTCCTGCGCAGCGTGGTCGTGGTCGGCACCGCCCACTGACGAAAAGCCGCCGCGCTGGGCCTCCTCCGGCAGGCCCTGGCCGAGAAACAAAGACCAGGACCGACTCGTTATTGCGGGCAAAATCTGCGTCCACATTCGCTGCGTCTGGGAGTTCATGGTTCCCCCCCAGAATGCAGAGGGGCAGTGGGCATTGATGCAAATTTGGTCCCTACCTAGACGCTAGATCTGTGTAAAAATTCATATCCACCGTGCCTCGGCCCGTTGGCGCTCCTTCCCTGGCTGTCCAAGGCGCAGTGGCTATTCGCGTGAATTCAGCCCGCGCATTATCGATCCGCGGAGAATGGCGAAAAAACTGTGCCCGAAGAGACCGCGGCATGGGGGCTGCCCGAGGGCGGGCGCGCGACGGGGTCTCCGAAGTCGGGGGGCTGCTCGGGGAAGTCGAACCCGCGCCAGTCCGCGAGGTAGTCGTTGGCGAATAGGTAGATACATCGATCGAAGTCGAGCGCCGCAGCGCGGATGTCGGCCGCAACCGGGTCCGCGCCTTCAGCGGCGAGGGCCTGGTCAGACAGGTCGAGGCCGGCAAATGCCCCGGCCGAGCCCTGGGCCGCGTGCGGGGGGCGTCGGCGAAGCGAGGGCGGCTCGCGGCCATCGATCACCGGCCTCATGGGGCCGTCCTTCTCGTCCGCGTAGAAGGCGCCGATGCGGCCGCGGATGGCTAGCCAGAGGCCAATTGGGCCGACGGCGCGCACGCGCTTGACGAAGTCGGTTTGAGCTCCGCCGTTGCGCCTCAGCACGGGGCCCCAGCAGGGGGTGGCGGAGTGACGAGGTGAAGAGCTCGCGGCCCCGCAGGGCGTCGAGCCCGGCCTCGGATCGGAAGATGAGGCCGTCGGCCCGGCCGAGGCATCGGGGCCCCTGGGGGCCGAGGCAGAAGCGCAGCTCCCGGGGCCCTGAGAACAGGTCGCGACTGTTCGTCGGGTCGGCGAAAGCGCCGGGCGCGGGCGCGTCGGGCATGTCGCCGCAGATCGAGGCGCTGGCCAACGCGCCGGGGGATCGAGCGCTGCGCCTCCGAGAGGCGACGGCTCAAAGATGGCTTGCGTGCGCCCTGAGGGCGCGCGACGGCGCGTCGAGGGCGCTCAGAGTGACCAGACGGCCTCGCGCAAACATCGCACTCGCGACCGCGCGGCAGGCCCGGCGCGGCCGCCGCGCGCGAGCGCGTTCGCGGATGTCGGGAAAGGGGGGCGGGGCCGCCGTGGCAGCGGCCCTGTCTGGTTCGGTAGTCCTCGGCAGGATCGCGTCGAAGGCCATCGCCGGCGTCGGCGGACCGCCGTGCCCGGCCGCGCCGAGGCGAGAGCCGTGGTCGCGGGGGGCGGCGAGAGGGGCGCCCGTGCACCAGGCGCTGCAGGGGCTGGCGTCGCAGAAAGTCATGCTCCTTGGGAGGGGGGGGGGGGGGGGGGGCAGGTCATATATTGTTATTTGTGGGCGCCGCTCGCCGCGGGGGCCCGCCTTCCCCGTGGCCCCGGCGCGGAGATGGCGACCCTTGGCTCCTGGGTGCCGCTCGCCACGAGGGCCCGCCCTCCCCCGTGGCCCTGCGCGGGGGAGGCGACTTTTGCTTCCTGGGTGCCACTCGCCTCGGGGATCCACCCTCCCCCGTGGCCCCGGCGCAGGGATGGCGACCCCTAGCTCTTGGGTGCCGCTCGCCGCGGGGGCCCGCCCTCCCCCGTGGCTCTAGCGCGGGGATGGCGACTTTTGATTCCTGGGCGCCGCTCGCCACGGGGGCCCGCCCTTCCCCGTAGCCCCAGCGCGGGGGTGGCGACCCCTGACTCTGAGTCCTGATTACTGGATGCCGCTCGCTAGGGGGGCGCGCCCCCCCTGGCCCCAGCGCGGGGATGGCGAGCCTTAACTCCTCCTTGATTCCTGATTCCCGGGCGTCGCTCACCACAAGGGCCCACGTCCTTGAAATGCCCATGGCAAGACTGGCGATTCATAATTTCTTGCCTTTTGGCAAAACAAGCGCCTGTGACCTTAAGACGGCCCGCTCCCTCTCCTCCTCTGCGCTCCGGGACCGACGGCCCCTCCTGCTTCGCGATCTGCGCCTCGTCCCGGGAGGCGCAGCTTCGAGACCTGCTTCGCGAAGCCGGGGAGCTGCATGCGCACGTCGTCGGCCATGGGCCAAGAGGAGATCCCGTCGCCCACGCTGGAGAAGCCACGCGCCCACGGGATGCGCCGCGGCGCTGCTTCCAGCTCGTGGGGCCAGCGCGCCGCGTGCTCGCCCGCCGCCGCGCAGGCGTAGTCAAACGGATTGTACTCGATGGAAAAGTCAAGGCCCTCGCAGACGCGGCGATGCGCGCGACGCACGCCCGGCGCCCCGCTGACCCCCCGACTTGGTCCTCCAATCGAGGTGGCGGGGACGAAGACGATGCCCAAAACCGCGGGCGACGCCGCCAGTTCAAGCGCCGCCCGGGCGCCTCGGGAAGGCCAACCAGGCCTCTGAGACTTCTTGCTGATCTTGGCGGCGGACAGCGAAGAGGACTGGGGCGCCGTTGGCGCGCTGGTCGCCGAGCAGATGCCTGTCTCGACCGACGGCTGTCGCCTTCGAAAGGCGCCGCGAACCGGTGTCGGCGTAGGGCGCTCGCTCGACCACGACCCAGACCTCGCCCACGAAGGCCAGGCCAAAGTCCTCAGCGCCCCTGGGTCTGCCAGCGCGGCCACTGGGAGGGCGGTGCCGAAGCCCCAGTGCGCGGGGTCGGCGATGAGCCAGCGGCCTCCCTGAAGCAGCGCGTCGGCGGCACTGGTGAAACCGTGCACGGCCAGCAGTTCCTTGGCTTCCCGGTGGACCCGGGCGAGCTCCTCGGCCGCGAGCGGGTCGAAGGCCTCGCCGCGTACGCGGCGTGAGACATCCCTGGTGAGCGTGATGACCCTGTTAAGCGGAGACTTCCAGGAACTGCAAGCTGAGGTCTGGAATGGCGCAGACCTACTGTCCAGGACTGGGCGACGCCAGCACCAGCAACCTCTTGTGCCATCGGAAGACGTTGGCGCCGGGCCGCCGCTCGGGCCACAGGCGACACAGGAGGAGGCACGCCACCCACGGCCAGCAGCACGCCGACCGCCAAGCCGAAAACGAAGGAGAACCAGGCTCAACACACGTATGGTTCGGGCTGGTCTCAGCCCGGGGCTGGCGCCGCCTCTGGCGCAGGCCCAGCAGCGGCGGCAGCGCCAACGGGCGAGGCCGCCACGGTGAAGCCTGCTTCTGGGCAGGCGGGGCCCGCAGGGGCCGTGGGGCACGCGGCCTGCGCGCAGGCAGCCTGGGCATGCAGGGCACCCAGGCACCGGCGGGCCACGCCCCAAACAACCCACAGCGAGGCTGGTCCCGACGTCGACCAGCCGGTGCCACATCGGGCGCCGCCTGCGGCGCCTGGTTAAAACTATAGAGCCAGCGCGTGCGTTGGAACGGACGGGAGCGGTCGTTCTCGAATCCAAAGCAAAAAGTGTCGGAGACAGAACACATATCCCCCGGGTCCGTTGTGGGGCCATCAGGCTCTGCGGGGATTCGGCGTGCTGCTCCCTGCTCCAGTTCCAAATTCGGACTTCCCACGTTTGCATCATACCGTCTACTTTATATTGCAAACTGCTGCTGGCCGCGCGAAGGAGGGGAGCTCCAAATGGTCATCTTACGACGGCCAAGTGACGTTGCCAAAATTCCTGCGGGGCGGTGGGGTAATATTGATGCATGAGATCGCGCCCCCAGGGCCACGAGAGTTCGTAAAGAACGCGATGTTCGCGCCGCTGGGACCCCGATCCCTGGTACGTTACTCCATGTTCGTTCAAATCTCTGGTGTCACAATCATTCATGAGTTGCGCTCCTTCGTGTTCGCAAAAACACAACTCCTCGTAAGTTGAGCCGCGCTCGCGACCCCGAGGTGACACATCCTGTTGAATAATATGGTATTCGTGCCCCTGGGGGCCGCAATCCTCAATCAATTCCGCGGTGCTCGCCTGTCCAAATAGAGGGTCAATCATCCACCCCCATAATAACCACCCCGACCAGCAAAGCCGTTTAGTAAACGCACCCAAGGAAGGAATCGAACAGGGCAGGGCTGTTTAGTAAACGCCCAGGGCCGTTTAGTAAAAGCCAGTTGTCGGGTCTGAGTGGTTTTTCCTCCCTTGACCAAAACCACGATCCTTTTTGAATTACTTCATGTTCGCATCCTCCACGTCACGATCCTTAGCAGATTACGCCAGGCTCGTGTTCCCGAACCCACGATCCCTTGTAAATGACGCTATACTCGGGCCCTTGTAGCTACGATCCCTGCTGCATTACATAATGGTCTCGCCTCTGAGGCCACGATCCGTGAATCATTTGTGCGATTTCCGCGTCTCCGACACCACGATCCCTGGTAAATCATATTTCGCTCGCGTCCCCGAGGCCACGACTCCTTGATTATACGATAGTCGCGTTCCCGACGCCACAACCGCTCACGACTTCACCGTATTCGCGTTGCTTTTAGGTTACGCAATTTTCGCGGTCCCGAGGCCACGATACCTTGCAAATTGCGCAACATTCGCGTCTCCGAGGCCACGGTCCATACTGAATTAAACAATGCTCGTGCACCCCTGCAACGACGATCCCCTGGCAATTCCTCGGTATTGGCGATTCCGAGGCTACGATCCCTGGTCAATGATACCATGCTCGCATTCGCGAAGCTGCGATCCTTAGAACAATTAACAAATACGCATTCCCGAACCCACGATCCCATGCACATTTACAGTCTTTTCCGGCCCCTGTGGCCGCGATCCCGTGTACATTACGCCGCGGTCGCGCCCCCATCCCTTGTGCATTGCATTGTGCTCGCGCCTCCCAGGCCACGGGTCCTTGTAGATCATGTAAAGTTCACTCGCGCCCCCGAGGCCACGACCCCGCGTAAACTATAGCATGTTCGCGTCCCCGAGGCCACGAGGCCTCGTGATTTACACCAAAATCGCGTCGCAGCCACGACCCTTAGCTAATTGCGCAAGTCCCGCGCCTCCGACACCACGATTCCCTTGTACATTGAAAACTGTTCGCGTCCCCAAGGCCAGATCATTTGTAAATCACACAGTACGCGCCCCGAGGCCACGATCCTTTGTAAAGTGCGCAACGCTCGCGCCCCCGAGGCCGCGATCCATCGTAAATTACGCGGTGTTCGCGTCGCCGAGGACACGATCTCCGGTAAATTATGCTCGAATCTCCGAGGACGCGGGCCCTTGCGAATAACTGTAGTCGCGTCCGCGAGGCCACGACTCCGAATAAATTGCGCTATGGCCGCGTCCCCGCAGAGGCGACCCCTCGTAAGTTACAATCTATTCGCGCCAGGACCATGACATCTACGGAATTATGCCGTGCTCACGCCCCCGAGGAAAGGATTCCCACTACATTGCGCCAGGTTGGCGTCCCCGAAGCCGCAGCCCTGTGTACGATGCGCCGAGGACGCAAAAGACCGTCCAAGCCGCTCGATTTTGCCCAACGTAGCCTCAAGCAGCCCACAATCGTTCCAACAGGGCCTCCGATACACAGCACGAGGGGACGTGCGAAAAAGGGAAAACCGAGATCAACAATATCATCAAAATCCATATTTGTCTTGCAGATTGCCAGTCGTCCTCGTACGACGCGTCGGTACTGTTTCACGACGGCGCCCAGTCATCCCAGCATAGCTCCTGCATATGACATTACGGTCAAAGGGGGGCACGCGGCAGAGGGCGAAACCAATCCGGCCGCTCCCGCCCTGCGGTGTGGGCCGTGCGAGACCTCTCTGACAGAGTGTTTGGCACGGTCTTTGGCCCCCTTCTCCAGTGCCCGGTCAAAAACCTCCTGAAAGTCCCTCCGAGGGGGCCCCACTCTGCCGCCGCCCCCCGCCACCCCCCCCCCTCAAGGTCTCAAACGGCCCGGGGACGACCCAAGGGCGCCCCAAGCCGGTCCTAGAGAGTCCCGAGCAGTCCAAGAGAGCCTCCAGACGGCTCTAGATCGCTCCAAGACGCCAAACATGGCCTCCAGACGGCCCAAGACGCCTCCAAGACGGCCCAAGAGGC